GGTTTCGCGCCAAAACAAACGGCTCCTTTAGGAGCCACCAAATGATACAAAAGTCAATGGCCAACATGATGTAGTAGTAACACGTTTACGAGTCAAAATGAATAGTTTAGTTTCCTGAAGCGAAAACAACAAAACTATCAATGTTATACCAAATTACAACTTTATTTCAAATAACTGATTTTCCCTTGCTGTCTTACATGTAACTGCAAAAGTACAATATATTTCAATTTATAATCTCCAAATCCATTAAGATCCCTTCCTTTATTTAGTAAATTACTCGCAGTATACAAATTGGTTCGCCCCTCAGCTCATTTGTAACATATTTTTGTAAAAAAAATACACTTGCTCTTCGAATGTGTATTTAGAAAAATACACTATTTCCTAAAGTAACTTAAAAGCGTTAAATTCTATTTCTTTTTTTCCTTACCACATTCAATGACAAAATTTTGGATATAAGAACGTTTATTCCCTCGTTCTGGCTGTCCGTTACTTGGGTTGTCACGAGACATTCATCGATATTGCGTGATGTCACCTCTCTTTTAGAATTGCGTGAGATCACCATAAACAGCTGACAAGCTTATAGCCCGTGTGCACTTTTCTGACCCACCCCGGGAGGTACGTGTCAACAAATTTGAGTTTCAATTCTTATAAGAAAAATATTAAGAAAAATATTAATATCAAATGGCTAAAATATTCATCTGTACATTGTACAATAGTAGATAAAATCTGCAGGATGAAGACCAGTGACACACACTGATCATCTTGGGAACCCCTCAGTTAGTCTCTTGCAGTCGTTATTTAGGTCATCACGCATCGGAGAAGCGTTGCGTGACGATTTCAAATAACGGCTGCGGAGGAGACTAGGGATGAGTTTTCACAATGCAATAATATTACTGATCAGCTGGAAGTTCCTCGTACAAGTCTTCATCAATGGGTTCTGCAAAAAAAAAAAATAGCAGTATGGTTTAGTAAATTACATTATCAATTAAAGAACAATTTTCAGCAAAAATTTGTGAAAATTAATGTCTTAAGCCTTCAAGAGCCTGCAAGGGTCAAAGCTAGCAAGTGCATTCCTTGTGCAGTTAAATAAAATGAGTGAAAAATGCAAATATGAATTGAAATAATAAATATTATTAAGTTATTAAGTTCAGGCACTTTAGCCCATATCATTCATACCTTGCCCAGCCGCTATGTCATCATAAACTTCTTGGTCGTCCTCTTCTGAACAAGAAGACAGTGCAAAGAGAGAAAATATTTCAGAAATCAAAATAAAGAACTGATATTTATGTCAATATTGCAAATGAACGTAACATGATTAGGAATCCACACTAGCTGAAAGCAGGTAAAAGGTGAAGTCTGTATTGGCCATGTGTCCTGGAGCTTATCTCAGTTTCTGTAGCTTGAAGTGACCAAAAGTGATGTTAATCTCCCCTGAATGGGTGGCTAGTCCATTGTACCAAGACCTGCCCCCTTCCACCACTTCCCCAATAAATTGACTGTTGGCTATTTATACTTCCAGCTGAGAAAGGCACTGTGAGAGTAAGCATCCTTAATACCCAAGGGTTCAAACCCAAGGGTCCAAACCCATGGGTCAAACGTGAGACACCAGGTAGTGGTTGATGCAGTTATTAAGAAACTGAATGCAGGGTCAGCACATTTCAAGTCTAGCAGCCTAATGCACTCAGGCATACTGTGTCTACACCCAGATCACCATGCTTACAAACACAGCTATTAGCATATCCTGTTCCAAAAGAAAAGCAGCCCAGTCTCAATAGCCTGTGTGCCCCTCAAAAAATCGGGGGACACAGGCTAAGTCACAAAGGTTATTTTCTACTCTTCTCAATCAAATTTAAGCCCAGAATTACAAGAAAGAAGACTTTAGTGGCAAAGTGCATAATTCTCACTTTCATTGCCAAATAAGGTTTGAGATCTGATCCATAGGCTTTTATTTGTCCTTGCGCTAACTTCAATATTTCCATCAAAGCTTTCAGCATCAGTAGAAGAAAAAGGCAATAAAAACTCTTGTACGTCCGCACTATATATACATACATCAACATACCTTCTTCTATTTTGGTTGCACTTTGATATTGGTCAACATCTTCATAGAAGTCTTCTGTTATAATTGCACTAAAATCAATCAAGTCAAGTTAGTTATCTGCCATGGAAATCATGAACATACTTGTTTCACATAATTTCGTGTTTTGAATGTCTATTTACATGTAGATTGGTTAGATAATTTTTCTTTGTAGACAATTAATAACTGTATGGCACTGCTGTATATTAATATGTGTTGTTTGAAACATGATTTACTCTGTCAGTTCACCAAAGTACAAAATAGAAACTATAACTGAAAAACTACGCAAATATTGTTGATAGAGTCAAACCTCCACTAACCGCCACCTCATAACAATATAGCCACTATTTTTTTGTCTCAGCAGATTGTCCATACATTCACTTTTATTTTAACCTCTCTACAACAGCCACCTCTCCACAATGGTAATGGCCACTAAAGTGCATCCCAATTACCGAAACAACATCTGCATAACAACCAGTTAATCAACGACTAACAAACGGTGTATACAAAACCACAACTTTTCATTGTTAAAGGTCACAAAACTTGAATGGAAGCACACATCACTGGTCTCTGTTTCTGTTTTATTGATCAATATATTTTGATTATGTTATATATTTACGAGCTAAAATAAGCATTTGTTATTTCAATAAAAATGTTCACCCCACAAAAAAATCCGGGGTCATATTATAGCCCTACTTCCCCATAATGGCCAACTCTCTACAACAGCCACTTTCAGTTTCTTCTCTCCCCTAGATGGCCGTTGTGGAGAGGTTCGACTGTAAAGATAATGTATATAGGGAGTTAGCCACAAGCATATTGTGATGCTTCTTAATGAATAATCTAGAGAATTTCATTGACTATTTGACAAAATAGACCTATACCTTATTCGATTTCCTTCACTGTCAACCTGAAAAATAAACGCAACTTTTCATTATTATCAAACAAAACGTGCATGCTTGAGTTAATGATTTTCATGGGTATAATTGCCTAAGAGAACAATATAAGAAAATCTGAATGAAATATAAGAAATGCTAAGATAAAAATAGAACAGAAAGAAAATTGCTGCTACTAGCATACAGAGGAACACTGATTTTAAACTTAAAAGAAACTTACTTTGAGTTGAATGAGGTCTGTAGGTAGGTAACCCACTGGAAAAGACAACAACCAAAAAACAAAAATCAACATTTAAAATCATGTCAGTTATGGATTTTGAAACATGTTGTTCTTTTCATCAAAAAGACAAAACAACAGCATAGTTCTCTCTATCTCACAGTATATAATAGTGATGAGATGCTTGGGAACATGAACTCAACAAATCTTGAAATGTTTCCAGATGTCATTTAAACCCTCCTCCTAGCTATTCACAGAGCACACAATAGCAGGGGTTTCATTAAGGGCTGGGTACTGGGTAAATTGACTGGCCGTGAGGATGATTTTGCCTGCCTGGTTTGACCATCTGAAACCCCTGCAATGGACACAATAGTTACCATAATAATTCACTTTATACAGCCCCACTTGATAGGGAGGTCCTGCAAGGTGCTTACTGGAAGGAGGGCTATAAATCAAATCATAACTACAGTGGAGAAGTCTGCATATAAGCAGGTTCCAAGAAGCCCATCAGGCCAGTTTCTGCAGCATAAAAGAATTAGGAGTATTTCTACTCCCACCAAGATGGGATGCTAGTCCATCGCAAGGTTACCCACCAACATTAAATTTGCCTGTTCCCATTCATACACCCGGGTGGAGAGAAGCACTGTGAGAGAAAAGTGTCTTTCTCCAAGAACAAAACACAATCTCTCTGGCCAGGGCTTGAACCCGGACCGCTCATACCAGAGATGAGCGCACTAATCATGTGGTCACCACGCCTCTCTTCATTACTACAGTAACTGACACAAATTAAACATACAGTGTCCTTCAGGGTTCTTAATAAGCCATTTTCCTTGAGGACATCCTTTTTCACTGATAATAACCAGTGTCTCCCCTTCCTTCACTGGCAGTTCAAACTTTCCATCACCAGTAAAGTTTCTCTTAGCTTCTCCAACACCATTGCCTTCAGCTCCAGCTTTTAACTGAAAAGGAGAAACGCATACTGTCAGTATAAACTTACTATATAAAAAAAGGTTACATGGTAAAGTCTGTATATGAGCCAAGTGGCCCATCAGGCACATCCTTAATTATCTCCAGTTTCTGTAGCATGAATGACATGCTAGTCCATCACAGGGTTACCCCAGCATTAAATTCACCAGTACCCATTTATACACCTAGGTCACTGGAGGGAGGCACTGAGCCAGTAAATTGCCTCGCCCATAAACCAAATTCACTGAGCCTGGACCACTTGATCTGGAGGAAAGTGCACCAGCGAAGACACCACCATACCTCCACAAAAAAACTTACAATATAACAGCCCTGCAAATGTGCTGACAGTTGGCAGTTTTTCACCTACAATAAATTCCTTACTGCCTATTTCACATTGAAGTTCACTAATTTTGATTAATTTCAAATCCCTCCCTGCCATTTTTTTGGTTACTACCCCTGTCATACTGCCTGCTACTCCAAAACATTTTCAAAGGGTTTCTGGAATAAAACAATCACTCCAGGTAACAATATTACAGTTAAAAAGTCAGTCAGTCATAACATTGTCAGCTGGCAACCTGATCTTAATCCCAGGTACCTTGTGTTTTTTTCGAAGCTCTTTATCATCCCGATCCCTTCTCTTTTTCTCCTCTTCTTTCCTTCTTTTTTCTTCTTTTTCCTCTCTTTCTCTTCTTTTCTCTTCTTCCTTTCTCCTTTTCTGTTCTTCCCTTTCTTTCTTTTTCTGGTTTTCCATTTCCTTCTTGAGATCTTTCTTGCCTTTCTCTTTGTTTGCACTGCTAAAAAGGTTCATGAAGCATTAACTGAGATCCAATCAGAAAATACAAGATTCTGCCAAAATAAGCCAAGAGACAAGATGTGAAAAAGGCATGATTTGACGCCAAAAAGATCTAGTTGACACATGTAAGCATTAACAAGAATAAACAAATTAAATACAAACTGAAACAGTTTTCATTTAATCCTAGTTCTAGTTTTAATCCTTAGTTTTAGTATCATGTTTTTAGCTTTTATTACTTTTGTATTTTAGACACTTAATGTATATTCTAGGCTTTTATTTTTTAGAGGACCCTACTGAAACCACCTCTAGGTTATTGGAGGCCTCCTCTTAAAATATTATTTTGTCATTGTCATTGTCATTGTCATTGTCATTGTCATTGTCATTGTCATTGTCATTGTCATTGTCATTGTCATTGTCATTGTCATTGTCATTGTCATTGTCATTGTCATTGTTATTATTATTATTATTTACTCAATGTCAAACATTTACCTAGAGTCACAAAATACCCCCTTGAACAATAAATAAACCAACACCCAAAATACAGAGCAGAGAAAATTTTTAATCTTATTTAACACCTCTGAAAAGAAAAAATGCAAATTTACGCCACAAATCTTACTGTACCTCCATGCTACTTTATAAATCTTCAACTACACCCCCTCCATCCAACCTCACCTCTACACCTTCCAGGACTCTACACTCTACACCTTGTGTTGTCAGAATAAACTTGACCTTGAGAGAGTTATGCCACCATATACACAACATTCTAATGCCCTTTTACAAGCATTCTGTGGTTGAAATTTGTAGTATCAACATGCACAGTGTACCTGGGGACTGCTGAAGGTGAATATTTGTTTTCAATAGGAGAGTCGCAAGCCTCTTCTTCTTTCACCTCTGGCTGTCCATTAAGGCTAGTCCCCACTGCATCATACATTTCTTCTCCAAATTTTTCCCCTTCAACGGCAAAATCTGGAAAACAAATAAAATTTAATTAGAAAAGAATAACAAAGGAGCACACAGAAGAATATAAGCTACAGGTGGAACTATGAATACTATATGATTGCATGTGCCCATCCAAGCAAGGTAAAGACTGTTGCAATCCTGGGGATTTATGAGAGGCACAAGGCTCACAAAATAAAGCAGTGAGACTTACTCCCATACCCCTATCTCCCTCCCCAGTTCAATACAAGTAGGAAGCTAGTTGCCCTAATTAGAAAACGACACTTTGCAGTATCTAACCACAAATTCTAATTCATATGTATCTGGTGGTAATCTCTGACACCCCCTGTCCCCCCAGTTCAATGTTGTGACCAGCTGCTGTGGTCTGGGCAATGTTAGAAATAGAAAAATCATTATTTTGACTCCCCCTGGATGGGATGGTAGGCCATCACATTGTTTAACCCTACCATTTACTTCACCACATCCAGTTACTCATCTGGGTGGAAAGAAGAAATGTGGGAGTAAAGTGTCTTATCCAAGAACATAATGCAATGTCCCCGGCCAGGGCTTGAACTCAACTGCTTGATCTGGAGTCTAGAACACTTAACGTGTATTAGGGCAAAAACTCTCCTAAAAATTTTTCGATAAAGACTTTATATGATACCATTTTGTAAATGTTCACGAGCTTGCTCTGCCACAGCGTCTAAGTCATCGTAGCTCTCGTCACAGATAGGTTCAGTATTTTTTGCTTCTGCATTATTTATCTCCTCAACTTTTGCTTTCATCTCATCAACATCATCATAGTTTTCCTCCATAATTCCTGTTATGTAGTAAAGGTATACATATTGAGTCTTGTTCACACAGCATGCGCAAAAAGTTGGAGAAAAGGAATCAACCCTGAGAGGATCACAGCTAAAGCTGGATCCCAAAGGTATTTGTCATACAGGAAATCAGCATGTGCCTGCTCACTTGCTCTCCAGGTGAGTCTCAGAGTCTTAATCAGTTTGGGCAAATTCAAACCGGAAATGTAGTAGCTTAACTAAAGGTCAGGCAAGGACTGTCAAGATTAATTTTCCATTGCTGTATATGTTCAAGATTGTTGACTTACAAGGCAACTGAGTTAAGAAACTCAGCCAGCTGTGACTGATGACAGTAAAGACTCTGAACAATAACATGGCAAGATCTAGCGTAATCTGCACATTGTCAAATTTTATCACTAAATAATGTTTGCTGGTCAACTTTTAAAATTAGTGTACTCTTTTTATCCAAAAGCTAATTTGCCACATATTTAGGTTAGTCTCCTGAAATGCCCCCTCATTGTTTGCATTGAAACCACTTGTGGTCCTACTTGAAAACAAGCTGAATACTTTTCACCTTAAATGGATTAAAAGGCAAATACTCATGCCAAATAAGCTACCATCAAAAAGTTGACCTATATCATTACCTTCCTCTGCTGTAGTCTCCTTTTCCTGTTCAGCTTCATTTCTGCCCAGAATCTGAGCCTTAAGATCATCATCTACATCATCATACTCTTCTCCTTCATCTTCCTCTTCTGCAATACTATGATCTGAAAACAAACCAAGGTGAAAATTAGCTTTAAAATAAAAATAAACATTAACTAAAATCTTCAAATAATATCCAATTGGGCTTTTCATGGCCAGTGGAAATAAACAATGAAACAAATCATGTTAATGAACATAACATGGTTAAGAATTCCAACTGGCAGGAGGCAGACCAGTTAGCTATTTACAAGTGTGGCCAAGCAGTTCAACTCAGGACAACTGAGAACAACACCAGCTTGTGGTCAGAATGGGACCCTAAGCCGCAACCTCTGATTTCACTTCCAGTGCCCTAACCACACGGCCACACTGCCTCCTCCAATCAGTCATTCATCTTTTATTTCCTTTTATTTCAGGTTAAAATCCAGGTTAAAATCCAGTTCAGTCACATTATTGCTTACTTTTGGTTTATCAAAACTACTAAAATGTGGCTCATTGGCCCAAAATGGTGCACCCCTGTTGCATGATGTGAGTATATGTAAGTGGATACAGCTCCTTTAATACAAGAAGAATGAGATATGTGGGGCTAAAAACCCTCAGGAAATTCCAGTTTAAAAGCTTTTACTTTCCTTTTAATACTTTTGCTTTTGAACCCTCCAACTTTACATGTAGAATTTCAAAAAAAAAAATTCCTTGGGGTGGCTATGGATATTTCATGACCCACACAATTATACATTAAGATTTGTTAAGTGAGAAGCACAGAAGCAAAGCTTACCCAAGCTGCTATTGTTCTCCAGCCTATTCAACGTGTTTCGTCGTGGTGACATCACAATTCTATTGCTGTCATAATTCTCCAATAACTTCATTAAATTTTCAGGTTTAGGACACTTTGGTGGCGGTTTCCCAAGACTTTCAAGTGTTGGCAAAACACAGAGCTTTGGCTCTCCCCTAGAATCATGGCAAACAATTTTCTTATTTGAATCAGTTAAAATATCTTTGCTCTCGTCAGTAACACCTCTGCCAGAATCTGAACGTAGTTTAGTCTCATTTTCTTTGTCCTCTTCCTGCTTGATATTTTCTGGGGCTGGTTTAAGTGGTTTAGGCTTCGGTTTTGGTTTTGGTTTCATCTCCTCCTCTTCTTTGTGCTCAAACATAGCTCTCCTTCGGGCCATGAGACTTTGAAGTTCATTTGTCGGCTCATCAGCATTTGCAGTGTTTTTGTTATCAATGTCTTCTGCGATCAAGCTGTCACGGAAGCCAGTTTTCCTCAGTTTTATAGAAGGAATTAACTGGGCAATAGCTGATGGATCATCACTCCTTTTTTGGAACTTGTTGTTCCTTGGGGGTGATGCCTTTTTTACAGCCTGTGGGGCCTTTGGTGGTGGAGTCCTGTGCAATGAATTTTTCTTCTCCAATATTGCATTCTGTGTTATCGACATTCTGGGTTGTGGTGATCGGAATAATAGTTAAATAGGTATCTGTTGACCAGGAAAAATCAAGTATTGTAATAATTATTCCACATCTTTATACAGTGCATATTCATCCCATAGTGCTCACGTAAATAATTTACGATTGTCTCTTTGGTAGCTTGTCCCCATTTTCATTGGTATGAAGCCAGACTGACACACTTAATGATTTTACAGGCTCATTGAAACAAATGTCACAGCCATTAAAAATAACAATAATTGTTTCCTACAGCAAGCACACTAGTTGATCATACTGCCTGCATTTGTGATTGGCCATAAGATTAGAAGTTTTAATCACACATCACCATGATCAAAATCAACACTGAATAGCAAAAATCATAGTCACAGTAGTGGGTGCCCTTCTAATTTCCACAGATCACCACTGCAATGAATATATAGAATGCTGTCTGTTGCGTGACTAATGTATGCTAGTTACATCATGTTATCTCTGCTAATGTATTCCTGTTAGATCACATGATTATATGTTCTCGCACAAGTTCGATCTGTTATATAAAGAATATGGAAAGTAATACTCGCGGCTTAAATAATGCTTGATAAGACTTAACAGAGATCAGGGCAGACAGAAGATTCAACAGTGCCAAGAATTAATAGCTCAAGTTAAGAGCAGTTTTCAATTGAGTGTCGAAAGCAATTAGGTAATTACTTTAGTTTTGGCTTTACTACCATTTGAGATTGACTGAGCAGTCTAATTGGTAAGTAATGGGTTTGGTTATGGATTTATGACACTCAATTGAAAACTGCTCTAAAGTACAGTAACCAGAAGTGTTTGCAACAAGTTGTGTAGCAAAGAGAACAGTCTTTACTGCTGACCTGTATTACTGTTCTGTTTTGCTCTCCTGCATTTTATGTGTTATTAAGTGGAATAGGTTCAACTAGATATCACCACAGAAGAAAGTTTCGCTAGTTGGCTAGATCTGAAACATTGTTAACTAAGCCATTCTTGCAGTTTTTGTTTGCCAATTGCTAACTAGATTTGTCAGTGTAATTATGTAATGTATCTCTTTCACAGCTCAGATCGCATAGCTACAATTATTAAAGATTAAGGTAATATCATATGATTTGTTATTGTCGGATTCAGTCTGATGTTACCAGTTTCTTACAAAATACAGAGAAAAGCTCCACTGTAGGAAGGCTGCAGTTTAATTAGTCAATTCTTGGCCTAGTTAGGCAAGACTAGTTTATGGCTGCTGGTGCAGAAATCATAGGATGCCATTCTCTCAAGCTGAAAATATGTCAAGAAAACCTTGGTACCGAGCTTTTAATAAATACTCTTAAAAACCATACAGGCCTTTTGCTTCACCTTTCTGACACTTACAGGGTCCGAGACAAGTGAATTTCAACCTTTTGTCCGCCAAATCGTGCACAATTAATTGAGCTGAAAAACTTGTTTGATCTTTTTCCCAACCACAGAAATTGTTTACATAATTGAGTAGATTTAATAACCTCCTGTGAGAACGTCAACAAAAGTAAAAGTTTGCAAATTAGAAATAGCATTTCGATAAAGAAATGAGAATGTGCAATAGGGATAATTCTCTTGATGACAAAATTGAAGACTAAACGGCATTTTGAAGCAGTATTTTCCTTTCGCTTCCGGGACTGCAACATTAAAATTCATATGTGTGATCACGAAACCCAAAATGGCAGTGAACGGTATGTTTAAATACAAGCTCTTATCAGTTGTGAGGTTTGACTGCTCGAGGGTCCGAGATCTAGAGGCGACAAACAAACATGCGAACATTTATACCGAAAATATGGTTGTTTCGGTCGCTTTTATAGCTGGCTTCCTTGCTTGCTTTCTAAATAAAAAGCTCATTCGTCCTGTTTATAGATCCTGTCAAATACAAATGGCCATCGTAGGTTGAAGGTCGGCCTATCCTGGCGTATCATGATCAAATGCTCAACAGCCAAACAACAATATTGAAACTTCGCCGACTCAGATCACAATACTGAACGCTTGCTACGAGCCACTACTTCCTAAATGACCATATGACATATAAAATGTTCAAAATGAGGAAGAAAACCAAGCTCGGCTCGGAGGACGGGTTGAAACGCGCTAAAAAGCTCCAGCTAGCAAGCTCGTGAATCTGCATGTACATTGAACAATTTATCAAATGTTCGACATTGCTACATTAATTACTACCGTCAATAAATCAGCATACCTTTCTTTTTCACATAAGGGTGGTCAGCTTAAGTTCTCGATCTTTTAAACCTCGTTTTGCTTCAGAATTAGCTAGAATTCCACTACATAACCCTTTGCTAACCTTCGCGCAAAACGTTCCACAAAATACTTCCGCCAAGGCTGCGACACGATCTAAAAACATTTTGATTGGTCAACTTCAAGGTTCAAAAAAACACTTGTTTTGATTGGATGTTGGTCTTCATCGTTCTCATTCCACTCAAAAACCAGATTTCTTTGTGACAGACTTCATTGGCATTCTTGCTATAGAGACCCTGTTAGGGGTAAATTCCGACAAGCGACATGGCCTTGAAACGGGGACATGAGAGCTATGAATTGTCGACGAACGACAGACTACTCCAACGAAATAGAGAAAGCGACACCAATGGCAAGATGGACCGACAACGAATTTCGGAACTGAGAATGCAGTGATTGTTTTAAACGTCTGAGTCGAAGTGAAGACGCATTTCCAGAGTTTTAAATGTGTTTTCCTCTCTCACGCGCGATGTCGACGGGTCGCGAAATCCAGGCTTTCCTATATATACTAAAACAACCACGTCGAATAAATCGAGTCCGTCATTGCTGAGTATTTTTTCTCACTCTCAGCTGAGTGAGCAGTGCCCTAAAACGCCTAAAAACACGCTTAAGGAAA